TCGACCCTTGGCAAGTGGAGGCGCCCCCCCCAGGCGGGCGAGGAGCGGCGCCGCCGTCGGCGGGCGGCTCCCTACCGCGTCCGCGCGGCCGCCCTCGCCCGCAGGAGTCGCGGCCCCACGGGCGGCCCTTCTCGCACGGAGGCTGCCACTGCCCTCGGCTCGGCCACTTTCTCGCACAAGCTGGCAATGCTCGCAGGCAGCTGCCACCGTCCGTCCTTCTCTCACTTCTCGCATGCGCTGGTCCCTCTCAGGCACTCATTCTCGCACGCGCAGGCTCCTGCGCTGTAGCTGATGGGGTTGGGCCGCGTACTCCCCGCCAACTTCTCGCAACGAGTCCCGATCTCAGCGCTGTAGCTGGTCACGTCCAGCTCGCTCGCTTCACCTCTCTCTTTATCGCATCCCTTGCGCGCATCCACAAGGACGAGCCTCTTCCCTTCCACGAGGAACGCCTTCCTGCAGCGGCGGGAGGCCAGGTTGGGTTCACGCCGGTCATGTGCACTCCGTGTGTGTGTGTGTGTGGTCGCAGTGGCGGACGAGCCACCGCTCGACTTCCTCCGCCGCCTGGGCCTCGCAGGCCCTGGCTGTCGCGTTGTAGCTGGGCACGCCAGGCTCCGACGTCACCTCCGCCTTCTCGCACGGGCTGAATGCTGCGCTGTAGCTGATAGCGATGGGCCTTACCTTTGCCTCCAAACAACCGCACGCACTGCTCCCCTTCTCGCACACCCTGATCGCAACGCTGTAGCTGAGAGCGCTGGGCTCCGTCCTGGCCTCACGCTTCTCGCACACGCTACTGATCCCCCTCTCGCACACCCTGAGGGCAGCGCTGTGGCTGAAGGCGTTGGGCTCCGCCCACGCCTCACGCTTCTCGCACACGCTGCTGATCCCCTTCTCGCGCACCCTGATCGCAGCGCTATACCTGATGGCGTTGGGCTCCGTCCTCGCCTCACGCTTCTCGCAAACGCTACTGATCCCCTTCCCGCACACCCTGATCGCAGCGCTGTAGCTGATAGCGTTGGGCCCCGTCCTCGCCTCACGCTTCTCGCACACGCTACTGATCCCCTTCTCGCGCACCCTGCTCGCAGCGCTGTAGCTGATAGCGTTGGGCTCCGTCCTCGCCTCACGCTTCTCGCACACGCTACTGATCCCCTTCTCGCACACGCTACGGAACCCCTTCTCGCACACCCTGCTCGCAGCGCTGTAGCTGATAGCGT